ACGACATTCGCCCCCCCAAACAAAAGTCAGGAGGGAAAGAAACACACAGACACATTTAATCGTCGACTCCCCAGAAAACATGGGAAAATATGGGAAGTGTGTGGGGGGAAGACAAACAACCCCCCATACATGGGAAACTATGGGGAATCTTTTTATTGGTGTGTATTTCTTTGTGTGTCCCAGGGCCCCTTCAAACAAAAACACGGGGCGGGGCAACCATCCACGAACAGCTACGAGAACCCCGCCCGTGCCGGTCCGAGGGCGGTGCCTCTGTTGGGACCGCTGTGGGAGCGTCTCCGCGCTTCGTGCCCTGCTGGGCATGGCGCGGACCAGGGAAACAGCTGCGAAGAGAGCGCGCCCCGGAAGAGCGATGGGATCTGGGCCCGTCCTGTTGCTAGCCTAGGGCGTGCGCATCGTAAGCGTAGGCCCGTCCTGTTGCTAGCCTAGGACGTGCGCATCGTGAGCGTAGCATGCTCTTCCAGGACGTTAAGACACGTTCAACGTTGCCTTATAATAGCCCTTTGTTCGGCCCCCCCCGTCCGAAGTCAAACGGAGAGCTCTGGCCGCGGATTTAGCTGACTTTGGGAACAACGGCCGATGCACTTCAATTGTTTTGTTCCTGATGCATGAAGGGGGGGAGTCCCTGGGGGCGCGCGCGTGAAACGCCAGGCTAGGGAGCGGCTGATTGTCTGGGCCAACAGCCCCACCCCGAGGGAGTGACTTCGAAAGGGGGTGGACGGCCACGAAACGTTTGAGCCGGCCAGGTGCAATGCCCGTTCCCGGTGGAGGGCGGCCATGGGGCCCATAGGGGGGCGGTGCTGCTCACCCTCGGGCCCCCTGGGGCGGGTTGGGGTGGAACCCGACTGGCTGGGGGGAGGGGCCCGAGGGCGGCCCTTGTGGAGGTTCGACCCCGACCAGTCCGATGGCATGCAAGAGTTGTGCGGAGCGCCAGCCCAGTCGGTGATGCTCAGGAGAAGAACAAAAACACACAGACACAATTAAGCCTCGATTCCCCAGAACATATGGGAAAATATGGGAAGTGGGGGGGAAGACAGAACCCCAGAAACTATGGAAAATCTATATGGGGAATCTGGTTATTTGTGTATTTGTTTGTGTGTCCCTGGGCCCCTTCACAAGAGTTGTGCAGAGCGCCAACCCAGTCAGTGATGCGACAGCCTTGGAAGCGGGCCGGCCAGCGCACGGACGGAGCCTGCCTGGCTGGGGGAGGGGGCCCGTGTGTGTCCTGCGGGCCAGCAGCAAGAGAGCCCGCAGGCGTGGCATGCTGCGGGAAGCTGGGGCCCCGGATGGGGATCGCTTGCGCCGCCATGTAGACGGGAGACCGCCAGAAGCGCGCGGGTCACAACGCCTCAGGGCATTTGCGACGGGCGTGCTGCAGCGGAGCTCCCGACACAACTGGGCACCGCGTGTGCGAGCTCCCTTTTGGTAGGGCAGCCTTGGTGCGCCCGGGGGCGGCAAGGGCTGCCCCTCTGCGCGGGCGTGCCCGCCATCCGTGGCCTGGGCCAGGGGGCGCATGGAGTGTGTGGTGGCTTCGTGGGACCGTTCCCCCCTCCTGGAGTCCAGTGCCCGCGGCGCCCGCAGGGGGAGATTTGTCCACACTTGCGTGTTCAAGCCGCGGCGACCCCTGCCCCCGCCCTGGGCCTCTGACCTTCGTGTGGTGCGCGTGGGGGGGGGGTCTGCCTCCAGCTGGGACCCGAGGGGCCCCCCTCGCCCTGAGGCCTCTGGCCCCCCTCCCTCGCCTCCCCGGGTGGCGCTTGGGGGCCGGCAGCCGCCAGAGCGTGCCAGCAGCAGATCTTTTGCAGCTCTGTGTCGATGCCTCCTGTTCGCGGTCTGAGGCCTTCTGATTCAGGAGGGGAGAAAACACACAGACACAATTCATCGTCGATTCCCAGAGATTATGGGAAAACATGGGAAGTGAGGGGGAAGACGAAAACCCAGAAAATATGTGAAAATATGGGGAATCCCATTATTGTGTGTATTTATTTGTGTGTCCCAGGGCCCCGTCAATGGTATATGAGGCGTTCCGAAAAGGGCCTTGCCTTCGAGGATAGAAAGAGGTGTCATCTCCTTCCTCGGTGGAGGGCGGCCGAAGGGCGGCGGAAGGTCGGCGGAAGCAAAACAAGGCCGCCTCCGCCGGCGGAAGCCGGCGGAAGGCCGGCGGAAGTAAAAGATGCGCCCCCGACGGGTGGCATGGGGGGCGCCGAGAGAACCACACCGGAACCCTGAGAGGATGGTGACAGGGATTGGCCGAAGCCGCCCGAACCCGTCCTCATCTGGATGTGTAGTCCCATTGGATGTGCAATCCCACCTCCGACTCGGGCAGCCCCCCGAGGTTCTCGCGAGGGAATGACTTAGCTGGTTCCTATGCCCAGAGGGGGCGGAGGAGGCTGGGGCTAGGATCAAGTCGGGCCTGTCCCTCTACACGAGGAATGTTCATCAACAGTCTGGGGACGATGTTTCGATTCTGTTTTTGAATATTTCTGGGCATTTTCGGAGTATCTTGGATTTTCGTCCAAAATCCGCCCGTGGGGGGACACGCCCGACCTGAGGCTAGGATCGTCTCCGGGGTCGAGGCTTTGGGCGTCGCCGACGCCAGGGCCAGAAGTCGCGCAGCAGCGCCACGGCCGCCACCGCGGCGGCGCTGGCGGGCACGGGCCGCAACCGCCCTGTTGGGGTGAAGCCGGGCCTGTCCCTCCCCAGGGGGAAGATTCCAAAATAGTCGAACAATAGTCTGGGGACTATTTTTCTATTGTTTGGCAATTATTGTTTTGTTGTTGTTGTTGTTGTTGTTGTTGGTATTTTCTATTTGTCTTCCCAAATCCGCCTGTCGGGGGACATGCCCGACCTAATGTTAGGGCTCCCGAGCGGGGGGGGGGAATCGTTCCGGCGGACAGTCGAGTTTGAAAAGGCCTCGGGCCACAACTTGGGGAGTTTGGCCAATGGTGCCTCGGTGTACCATGTGTGCCGTCAAGGGCCTCCGAGAAGTTCATCGTTCCGCGAGGGTAACTGGTGTAAGGGCGGCCCCACCCTGAGGCACTTGGAGTGAGCAGTGTCATGCAGTTCTCGTCCCCGTTCGGCTGTCAGTGAATTGCGTGCTGCTTCCCGCAGTGTACATCCCACGCGCAGCGTAGCCATGCGTAATGGTCTCGTTAGGTGCTGGAAGTGTGCGTATTTCGATAGTGTAGCGAACGGGGGGGGGGAAGGTTCTTGCTCCTCGCTGAAGAGTGCCTTGACAAGAAGATCCCCTCGGGAGTGAATTATCGGAGTCGATTGCGACGAGGCCGCCCCCCCAAGGGTACCAAGTGGACCATTCCCCCTGTAGGGACCTCTGTGGGACGGGGGGGAGCCTCCAAGTTTAGGCTGGCCCGTCCGTGATCGGGTCGTTTTCGAAGAAGCCTCTGAGATAGTGACCCGTCGAGAGCGGGCCCCCCCCCTACAGGGGACAGGTGTAGTAGTCCGACATCCTGAAGCCCTGGGGGCGCCCTGGCAGGGATCGCCACGAGGGGGGGGATGATGATGATGATGATGATGATGATGATGATGATGATGATGATGATGATGATGATGATGATGATGATGATGATGATGATGATGATGATGATGATGATGATGATGATGATGCTGATGATGATGATGATGATGAGATGATGATGCTGATGCTGATGCTGATGCTGATGCTGATGCTGATGCTGCTGATGATGATGATGATGAGACGATGATGATGATGATGATGATGATGATGATGATGATGATGATGATGATGATGATGATGATGATGATGATGATGACGATGATGATGAGATGATGAGGAGGAGGGGAGGAGGAGGAGGAGGAGGAAAAGGAGGAGGAGGATGAGGAGGAGGAGGAGGAGGAGGGAGGAGGAGGAAAAGGGGAACGATGATGATGCTGCTGCTGCTGCTGCTGCTGATGATGATGATGATGATGATGATGATGATGATGATGATGATGATGATGATGATGCTGATGCTGATGCTGATGATGATGATGAGTAGGAGGAGGAGGATGAGGAGGAGGAGGAGGAGGAGGATGAGGAGGAGGAGAGCAGGAGGAGGAGGAGGAGGAGGAGGAGGAGACGAAGAGAGAAGAGGAGGAGGAGGAGGAGGAGGAGGAGGAGGAGGAGGAGGAGGAGGAGGAGGAGGAGGAGGGGGAGGACCCAGGCACGGGAGAAGCAGCCTCCACCCGCGAGCGGCTTCGTGCCCCGCGCAGCCACGGCAGTCCACATGCTCTGGTGACCCCCTTGGCGCCATCCTCCTGACCCCCTCGCGCTGTAAAAGACAATGGCAAAAGAGTTACAGTGGGGGCCCATGCCAAGAAACACCCTGCTTGCCTCCAGGCTGCCCTGGGTTTCTTGGACTTCGATGGTTCTGCGATGTGCGGCGTTGCGCTCCCACACCAAAAATCGTTGGACGTCCTGGGGTCTCAGGGTTGGGTTTCTTGTGGAAGGTTTCTCGTGGTGGGGCTCCTGCTGTTGGGCAACTTGCGGCCCCTGGGGGCCCTCACCGGGCCCCGGGGGCTGTCAAAAAACAGCCCAGGATGAAGAGAGCTGGTCCAAGCTGAGATCTTTGTCGTCGCCGCCGTCGCTGTCGCCTTCACGCCGTCGCCTTCACGCCGTCGACGCTGCGCCGCCGACACTGCGCCGCCGCCGCCGCAGCTCTCTGCGTCCCGAGACGAGGCGTTTCTAAGGCCTCCTGGCGGGCGGCCCCACCGCATCACCCCGTCCTCTCCTCCACGCCCGCCTGCTCCTCCTCCTCCTCCTCCTCCTCCTTCTCCCCCTCCGCCTCCTCCTCCTCCTCCTCCTTCTCCTCCTCCCCCTCCTCCTTCTCCTCCTCCGCCTCCTCCTCCTCCCTCCCTCCTCCTCCTCCTCCTCCTCCTCCTCCTCCTCCTCCTCCTCCTCCTCCTCCTCCTCCTCCTCCTCCTCGCTCCTCCTCGCTCGCCGCGGGTCCTGCCCCCCTTCCGCCCGGAGAACAGCGCGGCCCCCTCGTGGCAGCCCCCCGCGGCAGCCTCGCGCGGGCCCTCCGCCGCGCGGTGGGCGCGCGCCCGTGCGCGCCCCTTTCGGCCGCTGCGCGGTGCTCCCCCGCGGCTGCGCCGTCGACGGCCCAGGCGGCTGCCGCAGGGGCGGCGGGCCCGGGGCGCAAGAGACGGGGTCACTGCACACGGGGGGTCCGACCGAGCGCCGGATGTTGCAGGACCCTGCAGGGGCCAGGGCCGCACTGACTTGGCTCCGGGTGCGGGATCCTGCAGGGCCCGGCCGGCCCCGGGTCTGGACCGACCCGTGGCAGCAGGTCCCCGAGGTTGGCCCCGGGGGAGTACTGCATCGGCGGGCCCTTCCTGCTCCCCTCGGCCTCCTAGAACAAAACTGCATAAACATGAATATTCGGCGCTTCGCGCGGATTTGGATCTGCGCTGGGCCCCCCCCCCCCCGGCGGCGCCTCTGGCGCCGCTCCTGGCGCGCTCCGCGCGCCAGGGAGGGGGGTCCGGCGCAGATCCAAGGAATCCGCGCGGAGCGCCAAAAGCTGATGCGCTTATGCCTTCTGTTCTTCTTTACTCCTGCTCCCCTCGGCCTTCTCCCTCCTCTCTGTCAAGGGGAGGAGGAGAAGGGTACCCGCACCGCTGCCCTTTCGCCCGTTTGTTCCCCGCCTTTGTGGGCCCCCTAGGAGGCCCACGTCGCCACCTCTGGAATCGCCTCGAGACTCTGGTCAGAGCGCACCCCGTGGGAGGTCTGGGCAGTATCATGTAGGGCCTGTCCCTCTACAGGAGGAATGTTCAAACATCGAAAAAATAGTCTGGGGACGATTTTGTTTTGGCGGAGTTTTGATCATATTTGGAGCACTTCTTGTTTATGTTTTGATTTGTCGTCGGAAATCCGCCTGTAGGAGGACATGCCCGACCTGAGGGGAGTGGCGGCAATCATACCTTTCAGGATAGCGAAACAGGTGCTGCATCAGTTGCGAGTTGGTGGTCCTGGTCCAGATAATATTCCCGCTGTCGGGTTGAGGCGTTGCGCAGATTCTCCTGGCGCTGCTGGTGACAGAGCTTGCTTACCGCAGCGGGCGCCCGCTCCGAGATCGTCGGTTTTGAGTTGATGCGTTTGCGTGGCCTGCCTTAGAATCATCATTTTTGTAACGGCTGACCGTGTCAGCAAAGTGTTCCGCAGTACAGTCAACCCGCACAGTAAGGATGGGCAACATTCCCATGGGTACCCTTGAATCCGTGTCCCGTAGGTCCATCCCTAGCAGCTTTCGCTGGCCAGCCCCACTCGAAAAACGTCAACATGGCTTTCCGAGGCCCTTGCAGCCTTACCGCGCATCCTTATTCTTCACGGTTCGCGTATCCCCACCAGCATACTCAGAAACCCTGACCTTGAGAGCTGACGGGAAAAGGGACGAAGACACACATCTAGTAAAACAGAGCGGTCTTGGAGTTCTCTTGAAGCTCTTTTGGGGGGCCCCCAGGTGTTCCTCTCTGGCAACTTTCGCTGACCAGCCACTTGAAAAATGCCAACATGGCTTTCCATGGCCCTTGCATCCTTACCGCACATCCTTGTGATACAGTGGACGCCCTTGTCAAGATAGGCCCTGCTTGCCTCCAGGGAGACCCAGGTTTCTTGGGTTTCGATGGTTTTGCGATGGGATGCGCGACGCTCCCGCACCAAAAATCCATGGACCTCCTGGGGTCTCCGGGCAGAAGGTTTCTTGTGGTCGGGCCCCCATTGCACGGGTTGGCTGTACGGGTCGTTCGGCCGATGGCGCCAGGTTCAAGTCGGGCGTATCCCTCTACAGGAAGAAGATGCAAGAGTAGTCAAAACAAAGCCCGGGGATGCTTGTTCGACTATTCTTCGAGTATGTTTGCATCTCTCGGGGGTATTTTCGGTGTTCCTCCAAGGTTTGTCTGTAGGGGGATGATGTTTCGACGATCCTTTGAGTATGCTTGAATATTTTTGGGATATTTTCAGTGTTCCTCCCAGATCTGTCTGTCGGGGGACGCGCCCGACCTGAGCGTCGATGCCTCGGGCGACGCAGCTCGGAGGGCGCGCGCACCACTCGCCCGGGCCCAGGGCGGGCCCAGCCGGGGTCGGGGCGGGTGCACACCTCTAAGTCGGGCGTGCCCCCTCCACAGGAGGAGCATGCAAGGATAGGCAAAAATAGTTCGTCGGGGGACGACTGGTTTGACTATTTCTGGCTATGTTTCGGCATGCTTTGACTACTTTTCATGTTTTTCCCCCGAAGTCGGGCGTGCCCCTCCAGAGGAGGAGTATGCAAGGATAGCCAAAAATGGTTGGTCGGGGGACGATTGGTTGGACTATCTCTGGCTATGGTTCGGCATGCTTTTTGACTACTCTTCATGTTTTTTTTTCTCCAAACTCCGCCTGTAAGAGGACATGCCCGACCTAAATCTACGGTTGGCGCCCCCCCCACTGCATGTGCCCGGGGGCCCCGATCGCCCACGTGTTCGGCGAGCCCCTACAATGACGACGATGGCGAAACGATGACGACGACGACGGCGACGACGACGACGACGACGGCGACGACGACGACGACGACGACGGACGACCGACGACGGACGACCGACGACCGACGACGACGACGTCCAGCGACGAGCGGCGACGACCAGATGCGTCCGACGACGGCCGCACGGGGGCGCCCGTGTCGGCCTCCAGGCGGGCCCGGCGCACGGCGTCGTCGGGGGCGCGGGCGAGGGCGTCGCGGCGATGGAGAGGTGCGAGCGGGGCCCTCAGAGGGTCCGCGAGGGTCGAGATTCGAGGCGCCAGGAGGAGGAGGAGGAGGAGGAGGAGGAGGAGGAGGAGGAGGAGGAGGAGGAGGAGGAGGAGGAGGAGGAGGAGGAGGAGGAGGAGGAGGAGGGAGGAGGAGGAGGAGGAGGAGGAGGAGGAGAGGAGGAGGAGGAGGAGGAGGAGGAGGAGGAGGAGGAGGAGGAGGAGGAGGAGGAGGAGGGGGAGGGGAGGGGAGGAGGGGAGTGGGAGGGGGAGGGGGAGGGGGAGGGGGAGGGGAGGGGGAGGAGGAGGAGGAGGAGGAGGAGGAGGAGGAGGAGGAGGAGGAGGAGGAGGAGGAGGAGGAGGAGGAGGAGGAGGAGGAGGAGGAGGAGGAGAGGAGGAGGAGAGAGGAGGAGGAGGAGGAGGAGGAGAGGAGGGAGGAGGAGGGAGGAGGAGGAGGAGGAGGATGAGGAGGAGGAGGAGGGGAGGAGGAGGAGGAGGGAGGCGGAGGCGGAGGCGGAGGCGGAGGCGGAGGGGCGGAGGAGCGGAGGAGGAGGAGGAGGAGGAGGAGGAGGAGGAGGAGGCGGAGGCGGAGGCGGAGGCGGAGGCGGCGGCCGCGCAGGAGGAGGAGGAGGAGGCGGAGGAGGAGGAGGAGGAGGCGGAGGAGGAGGAGGAGGAGGAGGGGGAGGAGGAGGACCGCTCAGATGACCATCGGTCAGTTTCAAAAAGAGCGGAAGGCTTCGCCGCATGCGGGAGGCGGGGCACGGATGGCCTCAGACCAGGCCTTTCATGCATTTGGAATCTAAAAACTTCCTGCCTGTCGAGGTGCACGGCTGGCATTCTCTGAGAAGATTCTGGCTACTGCGAGTCGCGTGGGACCCGCAGTTCAGACAAACAAAGGTGCCCCTGGGAGTCACGACCATCTGATGGGTCGCGTGCACATGCGAGGCCCCAACAAACACATTCTGCACGGATTTCACGCCGTGGACTGGTCCTGACCAAGGCTGGGCGGGGACACAGGGGGTCCGCAAGAAAGCCTGTGTCGGCTTGGACCCGTGCGAATTAATAGAGGCCGCCGACTTACAATTCTTGCATTGGTATCTACCGCCAGCCACGGGCTCCATTTGGCTCCATCTCATGTGCGCTTTCGGCTATGAGACGGGCCATTTTTGGTTCGAGGTTGGTCTTCGGTCCCCTAGCCTGTGGCTTCGCTTCGGCTTGGCTGTCGCTCTCGGGATCTCTCCGCGACGTCGGGGGCCCCTGGGCAGCTGCGCTGGCTGGGCTGACTGCTTCTGGTCAGCAAATATACTTAGGAAAACGTCGGTGGCTCTGTTTCGGATGTTTCTCGAGAAGGCGAGGCCTATCATCTCTGCTTCGACCTCTCCTGGTGGTAACTGTACTTTTCCTACCATTTTCTCGGCCAACTTGTCGGCCAAGAAATTTCCTACAAAGGCGAAAACGGGTGGGTGTGTCAGGGCGGCACGCTCAGGAGACATATGAGGTTCTATCTGGACGAGGCTGACCGAGCGATCGACGATGGACTCCTGGACCCTCTTCCACTCATCCCTGTACAAGCGGGGGTACACGGATGCCTTGAGCTTCTCGAAGCCCGAGAAAGCGAACGCGTTGCCAGTAACGACAACCAGCTGGGAACCTTTCGGGGAGTCTTCGAGGAAGTAGAGGAATGACAACAGTTCGCCCTTGTTCATGGTCTGCTCATTCCGGACTGCACCTGTAGCTTGTCGAGCCACCGACAAAGGAGGCTGTTGATCTGCGAGGTCGAACGGCTGAAACACTACGTAGGCCCAAGCAGCACGCCGAAAAATATTGCAGGTGGGGTGTTCTTGGCATCGCTCGGACGTGTGCATTTTTCTTTCGGCGAGGACCATCGAGGAGCATCCTTGATCATTTGGCGAACAGTCCACGCACGAAACCGAAAACAACATAGGAAATTGACGTCCGAGCGATGGCCAGTGTTCTCCTCCAGAAGCGTCTCCAGCTCCCACGACGACATCAGCAGTGGGGAAGAAGCCGTGAACATGCTTGGCAGCGTCCGTCTCCACCGGTGGCGGAGTGACCTTGGTCCAGGCCGCTGGGGTAACTCAGCGCGTCCATCGCGCAGGCTGGGCCTCATGCTGTGTGTACGCACGAGGTACTAGACTTGCTGTTGCCTTGACTGAAGCCAGTTCGCTATTGCAAATACATCCCCATATCCTGTGAAAACTTGTCTCTTCCTCTTCCCCGCATCTACCGCATAGTACTGAGCAGTCATCAGGAAGCTGGCATACTTGCTTAATGCGGGTTCGAGGCCATTGGCCTCCCGTAGTGACTGTGAGCAGGCTGCCTGGGAGGGCGCGCCCTGGCCGCGGAGCGGGTTCGCTGGACCGAGTGGGAGCCTGCCCACGCAAACTGATCAGCTGTTCGTGCAACTTTCAACTGCCGTCGGATGTCATCGAGATACACACCTGCTGCTACATCCTCGCTCTCGTAGTGGTTGGCTGCTCTCCTCAATAATTTCCTCCTGACAGTGGCTGCTGGCTCCTGCTTTAAATCGTTGGTGTCGAAAACCTTTGACTCTAAAACCTCCTCCGTCGCCAAAAATCGTTCCCCTTCATCAGAGATCCAGCCCCAGGGCCCTGCGGGGTTCCACTTGAGGTCTAGGAGGGTGTTGATGACGGCTCTCGATGGTCCTGAAGCCTTTCTCCACCTATGTTCTGGTCGAGCTCGAGCTCGCGCCAGATGAACATCCCAGTCTCGCAAGGCCAAAGCGCAGAGCTTCAGCAGTCGAAGTGGTAGTCGTGATCCAGGAGTCTGAGATTCGCCAGACCTGGGCAATCGCTGGGCCCGTGTCGCCCAGCTCGGTCTGGAGTAAACCGTCGAGGCATCGACCGCGCACGGTACTGGAAAGGGTCTTGCCCAGAGCTTGGCGCCAAGCGTGTACCGAAGACGGGGGCATGCCATATACTGTAGCACCGTAGTGCACCTCAGCCATGCATCCTTGCTGTAATACTCGACGAGCTGCTGCGCGACCTTTCTACCTGCTCGTTTCGCCTGCTGCCATGCTTGACGACGATGTGCTGCTGCTTTAGGTCTAACTCGCATATCATGTCCTCTGTCCACCCCCAAGTCGACCACCTTCTTACCCACCGTGATGCGTATGTTATGCTGTGATAATTTGCGAGCGACTTCACGGGCACCTTGGGGGTTATTGCAGACGACCTTGGACTTAGAGGCTATAGACAGGTGGAGGTTCCGGCATAATCGGCCTAAAGTTGTGCCGGCCTTGATGAGGGCTTGGGTCACGAATTTGACCGAACCATAACAACTTTGATTATTATTGTCGACCCACGAAGACAGCTCGACTGCGGGCGAGAACTGGTTAAAAACAAGCTTCAGGACCGAGTGCAAGTAGACCCACCCAAAATCGAGACCTCGTCGGGCTCCCGCAATGATGCTTTTGGTGGGCTGGACGGGTTCTGAAAAACACCGATTCTCTCTGAATGTCCTGCTAGCCAGATGTGCCAATCCCTCTAGCACAAGGAACTGCGGGGGAAACTGCTTCTGGAGCCCCTGCTCGAACAGCCTATCGAACTCGAGCGAGTCGTAGAACGAGTCGATGTCCCAGAGAAGCGAAGACGAAATCGTGTGTCATGGCCCTGCACTTACGGACTCAGCCGTGAGCGCGCGCACCATGCCGACCCTGAGGCCAACCCCGTACGCGCCGGTCGCTGAAAGTAGGTATTTTTGGATTCCCAGATCCCAATCTACTTCGAGCGCCTTCCTACTTCAAGAATCGGCACGCTTTTGCTGTGTTTTGTTATTCCCTGGGGGGGGCCTGGACCCAATCAACTTAATCCGCCTTCCTGCTTCATGCTTTTACCTACTTCTTCCGACCGACGTGTACTGCTTGATCCCATTTGCCTGCAACCTGATCGACCCCTTCCGTGGGGTACAGCTCGCGCGCGGCGCTCCAAAGACGGATGACGCTGGGAGTGCGCCCATGGACCCGTCGGTCGTGGGCCCCCCGTGCGCAACGGAGCAATGAGCACAGACAGGACCTGCCAGGGCCACGCGCCGTGCTGCTCGCACGTGTTCAAACATCGGGTACGTTAGGTTCGCGTCGCGTCGACCAGCGGCGACCCCAGCGCGGACGTTCAAGGTTGAACGCCGCCGGCGACCCAGAATCGATCGATGTTGAACGATCGGACGTTGCGGCAGCGGCCGATCGTTCAAGGTTGAACGATCCCTGCGGTGTCAAAAACCAACGCTGGGGTCGGCACGACACGAACCTGCCGTAAACGCATCCACTCCTTCTGGCGGCAAACATTTAAAGGCTCCTCCGATCTGCTCGATCCCCGACGCCCTCTTCGCGTTGGCCGAGTCAATGGACTGGGAGACGTCCACGGCGACCAAAGGAGGGAGTGGGTTTTCTCGAGCTCGCTGCTGTGCTTCTTGGAGTAGTGCGAAAACTCTAGCTTGGGAGACTCGGTTGGAAGTAGTCCATTTCTTTTGATATTGCACCTTCTTGGTACCGAACATCTCAGTGAAAGAGCTGGCTTGGGCTTCATCGTATGTCTACTCATTCTCGACCCTGCCTTTGGGCTTCACGAAAGAGTGCAACTTGCCCGCGGAGTCTTCAAGGCTGGAAACAACCCACTCGCGGAATTTATGGTATGAGGCTGTTGCTGACTTACGTTCCAATGATTGTGATATCTTGCTTGAACTCTCTCGGATACCTTCCAAGGCTTCGAAGGACATATTATGTATGTTGAGCAAACTCGTAGCCCAATCATTTCGGTCGTCTACCACAAACAGCGCCCCAACCAGTAGTCGGCATGTCTGATACTGCATCTCGTAATCTGGTGGTCAACAAATCGATTCGCTTGACAGGTAGCCGTCGGACGTGCCCATGACCGTGGAGCATGTGATGGTCAGTGTCCTTATCTGGCTTCCTGACTGCGATTAATTCGCCAATCCAGCCATCAACTTGACGCCGCCAACGGATCGAGCAATC